AAAAAAAATGTTATGTTATACGTAATATCAAATTTTGATGATACTTATTTTGACTTTTAAAATTTGAAATTTTTTGCAAAACCTGATCATTATCAAACGAATATAAAATAAAAAGAACCTATTCTCAAATGGTGCAGTTTATATCTCCGCCAAAAGCATCACATTTTAGCATTAATGCGCGTAGTTATCTCAACTATTTCTCAATTCTATTTTCACAGTCACGCCTTCCTGAAGTTACATTAAACAGCCTTTTTTGCTTCCTAACATACCAGTTAGGAAGCAAAATATTATATAAGTGCAAGAAACCGAATTCAGCAATAAGCTGATTTAAGAGAAGTATTATAATAAAGTAATAAGCAACAACTCACAACTGACCGTACAGTTTAAAATGGAACAAAATAAGACAGAATAATTGATCGAATGTTAAACAATAATTGCTGATTCTTACCTGGGGACCTCAGGCTATCATGTTCATAAATTTATAGAGATTAGGCGGAATGACAGGCTGAGCGCGGCCCAGTAAGCTGATTCAAGAGAAGTGTAATGAGCAACAAATTTGCTTGGCCTGAAAGGTAACAGACGAGTAGCTTAAATGCGCGGGGCGAAGGTCTCAATTGAAGGAATAAATTGTAATGCTGCAGGGCATAGCAACCATCCAATGCGCAACGATCCAATGCGAAAATGTAAAATCACATTTGGATATAATGCGCGTGAGTGCTTACAAATTTGACTTTGGTGGGGATAGAAACTGCACTTTCTCAAATTTCTTAGAATTATAGAATCAATATACAATACTAGACTTATCGTTTTTTATAAAAGGATTATGAAACCTCGATATTTCATAAACAGCATTTTTTGAAAGGTTTGACGAAAAATATGAATTTCAGGTTTTAAAAACACTTTTTTTTTTTAAATTTCTGGTTGAGTACCCGGCCACATTTTTGGAAACCGGACCGGACCCGGATATTAAAGCTGCAGATATGAAACGTACTGGAGCAGGTGGATCTATTATTTGAAAATAACAACTCTACGAAACATCTATCATCTTGAAACTGAAAATCTTTTATTCTTTCGAAAGGTACCAGGTATGACAAAAATGGTTTCTACAGTACGTGAAAAAAGAACTCTAAAATGCAAGGCTGAGATTTATAAAAAGATCTATATGGTTCATGATCGCACTTATTGCATAAAACTCCAGCTATGGGCTACAGACACAATCGAATACTTGCTATTTCTTACATGGTACTCCCATCGCACCAGATTCTATAAAACCGGTGCAGTGGTGGGCAATTCAGATCAGAATCTAGTTCTCCATTGAATTGTCTCACATATTTCACAAGATGAAACTGTTTTGTTTTGTTCTGCTGTCCTGTCTAGCCCTGCTTTGCCAAGGATTTAGTGTTCTACCACAGACGGAGTATGAGGTGCTGGTGGAAGAATTATCAGGGCAAGAGTTTGGAGAGGGCTGTGACCTTGAAGATACTGACAAACTGCAGTTTTTGGATATATTCGGCATCTTAAAAGCCCTCCGTCGTCTGAGTAAGTGAGGTTACTTTTTAGAGATCTAATCTTAGATAAAATGCTTGGATTTTATTTAAAAGTAAGTTTGTAGTTCAAGGATCAGCTGGCCTTCTAGGCAGGGTTCCAGCTAAACTATAAAGTTACTTCTAGGCAGGGTGGTTGTAGCTAGAATCTAGATTACATCCCACCACAGAGAGGATTAAGTCAGGTAACACAACACAAGATTATAAAGTTATAACTACGGAGTGTGAACATGTAGGTTTGAACTGAAATATAGGAGATTTATCCAGACTGTCCGGTCACGAGTGGCTTCTTTGTCTAGAAGTAGCCAGACTATAGAAGTCGGCTCCGAGAATTGTTAAGCCTGATCATCTGTTGGGAAGAGTTGCGCTAACAGGGTCAGACAACTACTTGGTTGGAGTGAGATGAGTAAAAGATGAGTTATGGCTTAATGGAGGTGAGACATGGCCTATAAGAGACATTTATAAGAGACATATAGACCAGATAACAATTGGAGCTGATCCAGGATGCTTATATTTTAAAAACATCAAACATCGTGCTAAAAGTCATGACGAAACGAGGGCACTACCACGGTGAGATTAACTCAACAGTTTTTAACTTTATTGTTGATCTGTCTACTCATAAAAAGTGATATAAGAGCTTTGGAAGGTACCAAATAATAGGTCACCCGTGTTACGTAAAGGTGGCAAAATTACAGAAACTTTGAAGGAGAGCTCTTGGAAAGTGTTGATGGAATATGGAATTAATATCCTGTTAAGACAAATTACTTTTAAATACCTAACAAAATACTGAAATTACTTAAGCGGTATGTAACTGTAAGGTGATTTGACGCTGAACACCAGTTGACTGAGGCAACATAGTTGGCAATATTTTAATACTTATATTGAATGGATAGACAGTTACTACCGATTCGAATAGCACCGTCATAGCTATATTGACGCCACAAGGTGTCTATAGCTATTACTATGGTAAGTCAACTACGCCCTAAGAAGTGTTAGATTTAGAACCAATGCAGAGGTTCATCAAACTTTTACCAAATTTAAAGGTTTCTTTGAACAATCTATTTCTGCAGAAAAATAAGCTTATTTGACATTAAGCACGTAAATTTTGCCGATAAACTTTGTCTATTTTATCGCAAATTTTTCATATTTATATTTAAGTATTATGTAATGGACCGAAAGCGTTTTCGTCAGGTGTGGCTAGTCCACACCTTAACTGCTAAATAATATGAAGCATTTATTTCACTTCAAGATGAAAAGTTCAACTATACTAGAAAATGCAAGTGAATTTTTAGAAAATTCGTTAACTAATATTATTTCAGAACTGGAATTAATATGTAGCGCAACAACAACCGAGCTGTTGGATCTTCTGCTTCTTCCGAGATGCCTGAGGAACATTGTCCATGTTGCTCGCAACATCATCTGCCAGGACTACATCCCACCTACTTACACCCCACCACCCACCACTGCCCCACGTCCTGAGCCCACTACCACTCCACCACCAACGACAAATCCGACAACCCCTCCTAGACCAACTACCACTCCACCTCAAACCACCACTCCCCCACCTCTACCAACCTCCTCTGCACCAGCTAGCCTGTAACCTCTCAGGAACCTACTGACTCTCAATGAATATTACATTGATAAAATATGTTGGTTATATCTTTATTTTCCATTTTAGCTTGGGTTTTCATTCGACGTAAAATCTTATCGTTAAATTTATTAAAATTTGTGGATCTTAATAATCAACTTAAAGCTTTAAAGCTAAATTCGATACGTAATCATGGACCAAAACTCTTGACGACATGCCAACTGGCACAGGTGAAATACCTTGTCGCAATTCTCCTCTTCGCCGGATCTTAGCAGGCTGTTAAATACAAGTGATGTATAAGATGAATAAAAGATATTCTCAATTTATCTAGTTCAAGGGGGCTATATTTATGAGTCGCATTTGAACTTGATTTCTCTTGGAGAATTTCTCTTTAGACTCTTAACTTGCGAACAAATTGAAGCAGCAAACTTTAGGCTAGAAACTTTATTGAATTGAAATAATCATTCCACGTAACAACGTCTTCTTCAGTTCTGTAATAAAATTGTTAAACATATGTAAAAATTAACGACGGAAAGAAATTTAAAATAACATTAAAACAAAAACAGAGAAATAAAATTTACGAAATATGACCCAAAAATGTAATTGCAAAAAATGTCAAAACAACAAAAAATACGACAAGAAGAATTAAGAAATGTAAGCTAATACAACTAAATACTGTACTACTCATGATACTAAACTAATTAATAAACGTAAAACTGGTTGTTCAGAATTCACAGTTCATGTAATCAATAATGTATTGATAGGACTATCTTGGATGGTAACCATGACAACCGAGTTATCGTTGCTTAAGTGCTGATTTTATCATTAGTTTTTACACATGAACTGTGAATTCTGAACAACCAGTTTTACGTTTACTAATTAGTTTAGTATCATGAGTAGTACAGTATTTAGTTGTATTAGCTTACATTTCTTAATTCTTCTTGTCGTATTTTTTGTTGTTTTGACATTTTTTGCAATTACATTTTTGGGTCATATTTCGTAAATTTTATTTCTCTGTTTTTGTTTTAATGTTATTTTAAATTTCTTTCTGTCGTTAATTTTTACATATGTTTAACAATTTTATTACAGAACTGAAGAAGACGTTGTTACGTGGAATGATTATTTCAATTCAATAAAGTTTCTAGCCTAAAGTTTGCTGACTCAATTTATCTGTTCCAATGATTATTGTTCAAGTACCTTAATTGTTAATATGACAGGTCTAATTCATGGGTGTTGAAAGAATAACAGGTCGAAAATTGCTTTCCTAGGAAAGTAGGTGAAATAATAATTACCGGAAAAGATATCTTAATACTTCATGGCTTCAAGTTTTAACTGTTAACTTATCTTTAATTACACTGTCCTTTTTATTGACGTGACGAACAATGTGGTCAAAAATCGCTTTTCTATAAAGATTGGGAGATGGGACAACAATAAGCTCTGGAGCTGAAATTTTGATATTTATAACGGCTTTAAGTTGTAACTTAGCTTTATTCAGACGGCTCTCTTAAATTCCCTAATCAGGTTTACTAGAATAATGGTTGATTAGACTACAAAATCACATCACCAATCAATGTCTTACTAATCGATTTTAATTTCCTGTCATCCAAGCCTTTGGTCAGCTTTCACACTACTCTATAAAACTATAAAAGAGCATACTTCAATTCTTTCCTTTGAAAAGGGACACTTGTCACCATCCATCGAATTATTTTCTTTGTAAAGAATCCAGCGAGTTGTGATCACTGACCGTGTTAATTTGATTAAGCATTAAATTAGAAGAATCAGAATAAAAACTGTTTAGTCTTTTGAGACAATTGAAGTTTAACAGTTGGTTTACATCAACCTGTGAAATGAAGTTCACAACTCTGGTCTAGTAGAGCAGTAGACGTGGCAGCACGTGAGGAATATATTTTATAAATGACTTCTTCGGCACCGGCTGGCTCATTCTAACAAGATGAAACTGGTTTGTGTCGTACTGTTGGCCTGTCTTGGCCTGTCTTACGCTTTCAGCGTTTTGCCGGAGGTAGACTATGAAGAAGTTATGGTGGAGTTATCAGTAGATGTGGACTATGATCAACTGTTGGAGGGTTGTCCATTGGAAGCTGCTGATAAAGTGCAGTTTTGGGATATCTGGAAGATTATCAGAAAACTTCATCAGCTCAGTAAGTGCCAAACTTCGTTTGGTAGAATTTATAGTCAATCTAAATTTCCCTTTAATATTTTTATGACCACTATGGTCGTTGGGAGAGAGTACTTACATGAATTGTAAAACCTTATCTATCTTTTTACCAAGTTACATGTACATTGCTTTCTGTCCAAACAATTAGATTGTGGATCTGTGATGTAACGCAAACCGTCTTATAAATTGCTTCCATTACTTATTTCCCTAGGTTTGATTCTTGCTTTTCTTTTCAGAGTTGGAGATTGTTTGTGGACAAACAGCGAAAGAACTTGTGGCTCTTCTCAATCTTCCAAGGTGTCTGAAAAGACTTGTTAGAATTGCTCGAAACATTGTGTGCAGAGATTGGACACCTCCAACTAAACCACCTACCACACCTTCACCAACTACTCCTCAACCCACAACTACTCCTCAACCAACAACCACTCCTCAACCAACAACCACTCCTCAACCCACAACCACTCCTCAACCCACAACCACTCCTCAACCCACAACCACTCCTCAACCCACAACCACTCCTCAACCCACAACCACTCCTCAACCCACAACCACTCCTCAACCCACAACCACTCCTCAACCTACAACCACTCCTCAACCCACAACCACTCCTCAACCCACAACCACTCCTCAGCCTACAACTCCTGAACCAACCACCCCGGAACCAACCACCCCGGAGCCAACCACTCCAGAACCAACCACTCCTGAACCAACCACTCCTGAACCAACCACTCCAGAACCAACCACTCCAGAACCAACCACTCCAGAACCATCCACTCCTGAACCAACCACCCCGCAGCCAACCACCCAAGTGGTAACCCCTGAGGTAGACACTCCGGAGCCAACAACCCCTGAACCAACCACTCCGGTACCCTCAACTCCGCAGCCCTCCACTCCGGAACCCTCAAGTCCTGAACCATCATCCGCCGAACCAACAACAGCTGAGTCTACAACAGTAGGACCATCATCAAAGGTTCTCTAAATTCGCAGTTATGATTAAGTTTTAGTTATCTTATGTTGAAAAAGGATACAAATATGTTTTATTTCTTACTGAGTAAATATTGCGGATTTTTACAGTACTGAGGAACAGAGGTAAAAGCATAATTCAAGCCTTAAAACTTAAGATTAGTGACGAAGGAATGCGTTTTCTGCCCCTTTTTAAGTTCAATCTAATTATGAAGTGTGAGAGAGAACCCAGACCCTCGTCTGTGAACATCTCTGACCAAGGTTAACACCTGGGTCAGACATCGTGGAGCCGAATTATCAGAGACTGAGATAAGAACAGTTCTAGAATTAGCATCTCGCTCTACTGCGGTGCCGTGATCTACTGATTTAAGATTTGTGACAAGACCCGCCGCGGGGGAAATTAACTTGTGAGCTAGACACCCTGGCTCCAGAGTCACGTGACTAGGTCAGCAGAACAATTCCCAGGATTCAGGTGAGGTGATCCGATGATCCCGGTCCTTGCCCTTCATTTGCATGAGCTCCTCCAGGTCAGATTACGTATTTCTCAGGGGCTCAAAATCAGTAACACGTCTAAACAATTGCTACATCAATTAATTAGCTTGAACCAATTCATATTCACCAATTAACGGCCCCCCAATTAACGTTTTTACACTTAGCATTACAAGAGTTTTCCTAGAGAGTACAGGAAATAACAGGCCCTAACAGAGAGTTCGGGCGTCAGAACGTCGCACGCTCAATCATATCAGCCGGGTCACGTGACCGCGATCACGTGGTCTAAACATGGTTTAGTGCTAATGTGTTTCCCTGCGTGATGTAATAAGGGACAGCGCCGTCACGCGTTATAAGCGCAGAGAAGCCTGAACCCAGACCAATCTTTTTATTTATCATCTATTGTTACTTTGTTGCGGTTATTGATTTTATCTGATAACAACATGTGTCGTTCATGCAAGTCTGATGCCCCTAAATGGGGTTGTGGTGTCAAGATCCCGGTGAAAGATTTACCAAGGTTCTTTGAGTCCCAGCAGAGCTGGAACTTTGAGCAGAAGATATACGGAAGAAACGTTGAAGTTTTGGTACGTTTTTGGTTTAACTTTATTTTTCTGGTGTTTGCAAATCAGCATTCAGCATGGTTCTACTGATATATTCGTTCTTTAACCTTTCCATTTTGAACATCCTGAACAAATCTTATCCAAGCCTTTGTTGCTAAAAGCGATATAAAATTCGCACTGCGATAAACACCCTTGACCATCTGGATCTTAATCAAGTACAATAACGATAATTTTCTAAAAGTCCAACGGCTTGTTTGATCTTCAAATAGTTCAAATAGTTACCGTTTATGAGCATATTTAACATATTATCTCGATCAAGTGATGAAGATAATTCTGTAAAAATCTAACACATAGTTTGATCTTCAGGAGAACGTTCGACCTACAATAACTGGACATCTTGGTTGCAGAGACACCAGCACATCAAGACGAGAAAACCAGGTGAGATTAAAGAGATTTCAACAAATCATAATTTTTCAACAGATCATTATTTATACTTATAGGGGGTTTCAAGCAGCTTTAGAATAAATTCTCGGACGAAGACTTTTTACAGGATTAATTCAGAGCTAAATTCCGTGTTGAGTATGTTTGTGATAGTGATAAGTAGAAAAAGGGGTAACTTGTAGGTCTGATATATAAGTTTGAATAAGTCACTGACTATGGAGTCGAATCAACTAAACAATTCCAGCAACATACTTCATAACTTAGCCTCTATAATCTATATTATGGATACCAATACAAGTTTTACCTGTTGGAAAACAACGTGAAATTCAAACTAGATTAACATACGTTTCCTCGACAAAACTTCGCGATTTTCCAAACTAACAAAGTATTTTCCTTAGTTTCTGGTTCGAGAGATATTCCATTGCCCCGGTTGGAGGTACGGTTGCACTCCTAGAATTGGATGTTCTGGAAAGAGGAAGAATTGCTACGCTCTCTGCAAGGTTAGTCTTGTTTTAGTTCCAAGCGGATTCTATCATCACACACAGCCTCTAATTCATTAATTTCTACTGTTCATAGCCTTCTGAAGCTCTAGCAGAATTTCTAGCAGATACGATCGTTCAAAACCTCAAAGACAGCCTCTTCTGATTAAGTAGTTCTGGGTCACTTAGTCACTGTTCCTTTTACGAACTATGTTTAAACCAGCTCACCTCATAATACCACGACAGCCTTATAAGGTATTTACAAGTAGAAGCAGTTCGCCAATCCTAATATCCAGTTCCACGCTTTCAAAACAAGATACTTGTATCAAGATTTTGATTGTATAACTGCGTGTGAAAACTTGTGAAGCACCTGATATCATTCAGACCTGGTACCCAATCAAGTACTTACCTATTTAGTATTTATTCATGATGAGGTACAATATGCAAATCATGTAACATGTGCCATATCGACAATTGATAGACTCTTCACAAAATGGTTTGATCAGAGGTTTTAAGTATCTCATTAGTACATGTTATATCACTGTCCCATCAAGACAATGTTTGTCAAATTTACCGGCCGTCTGATGGAAATTTGGGGGTCATTGGCTCAATCACAAATCCTTTCAGCCCTTGCCATTCGTATGCACGGATTAGCGCTAATTTTCTCCCAAAGTAAGCCGATAGGTCAAAAACCTCTATTAAGACCGTAAAGTATTCGATTAATTTGGTGGCTTTGGTATGAACAGTTTAGCCCAGATTTACGAAATTACCCACGAATCGGGCTGAGAACATTTAGTATAACCTCATTGATATCAAAATAGACGAAACTCTGAAAACATTAATACACAGCAGTGATATTAGTTGTGGACGCCTACACTGTAGAGTATACAGCAGGACCTTGCGGTCAAAATTAGCCCCGAACTTTATCCTGTTTTCTGAATACCAGTTGAGAAGTTTTCATAATCTACTGGACGCCTTTCAGACCCCTCTCTAAACATTCCCATCATAATATATTGTCCTATCTAACAATGTTAGGCGCAACTTATCAGGACATTATCACTTCTTATTTAAATCATATTGAGGCAAATTTACTTGTGAAATATTATCGTCCACAACCTTTCCCTGTATGTACTCTTTCAGACGGGACCTCCAAATTTTGAAACAATGGTGTCTAACGACCGTGATAATTTGAAAATGATTCGCTAATAAACACCCCATCTCCCAACCACTGCACCCTGTCGAAGCCCCAAAAATATCACCGAGACCTCCTTATCACGATGAAATTTTAATTCTGTGGCTGAAAATTTATGATTATTTTCTAAACACGCGAAGAAAATTTAGGGCATATACCTCCCAAGTCCCAATTTATATTGCATTATGCTAAATTGTCAGGAAATAATTCAATTTCTTATCGCTGTCCGCCGAACAAAACCTTTTCTTCAGTAGAAAAGATGTTTCAATCCAGACATAGGAACTTGTGTCGCTTCAGCTAGTCCCCCAATCAGGGGGAACACGTCTGGGGGCTATAACTGGATGTATCGCGAGGAGATCCGGCCTTGTTACCATTACAACCAATTAACACCATTTAGTTTCAATAGTTGCCGTGTTTGGACGGGTGGTTTTTGCGGCAAACTTCTGTAACTTTACAGTTCCTCGGGTTAGGTTTCACTCTGTTGACGGGGGAGCTGTTATTAGATTATCCCGAGACTAGGGAAGCGTGCGGAGGAGGGAGAAGCGTGTGTTTGCTGAAAAGCGTGCACTGTTGACATCCTGATGCAATGCTGGTGGTTTACTGGAACCTGGTGACAAGTGGTTTACCAATCATTTAACAGATACTGTGTTCTTATCACGTGATACAGTGCTCTTATCGGAAGTTGCTGGAACGTGCCGGGCTTGTCAGCCACTTATATCTGTGTGCTGCTCACTTATCAGTGTGTGGCTCGCGCTGCACCTGTCAGTTAGTTATCAGTTGTGTCATCACTGAATCAAAATGATATCAACTGTACCCAAAACTGTAATGTTTCGTTCAAATGTGTGCATGATAAGGGGGAGAGGTCTTCGTTCACCTTATCAAGTTGTCAACAACTGGGGGTCCGTAATTATCAACAATCTTGAAGTTTCCAGAAGCAAGCACGGTTCTTAATTCAATGTTCCCTGTAATAGAAATCTCTGGTATAACCAGGAGACAGCAGCTTTGCTGTGTTAGTATCAAACTTAAACATCTAGGTTCATCAGTTCCCACTAAATCTATCCCTGGAAAACGGCTCCATCACTGTCATATACAAACGCAATATCAATTATTCACAATGCTAGTTAGGCCTTCTTCATTTCAATAAATAATCACGTCGTTGATTTTAGTAATTATATAAATCGAACTTTAATATGAAGAATGATACATAATGGGCTATCATCTAAGTTTGCTAACTGTTCCCTATTACAGGTTGCAATATACAGTGACAACCCTGATGTGGGAGTAGTGCAATACGCGGGATCCCACGGAGCAGGGAACCCCACCAACCCTCTCCGACACCGCCCCACTAACAGAGTACGACAGTTCATCAGACAACAGCACCTCATATCTGGTGCTACCCCCGCTCAGCTGGAGTATGCTATCAGACGCTCTGCTATTCAAGAAGGTAGATTAATATTATATTAATCCTCGATTGATTTTAATATTAAAAGGATTGAAGAAGGCATGTCTGTCCAAATCGATTAATCCTAATCGCGGCGGTATCTACTCACATGTCTATTTGATCAATATAAGCATCACTGTGAGTGACGCACAAAAATATATAAACAGTTCACCTTGCGATATAGATATTAACAGTTCGCCTCTCTCCAGGTAAAGACATTAACGATCCTCGCCACGTTCCCACAAGTGCTATGATCCGTCACATTGTGAAACGAGCCAGAACGGGACCCAACGAACGGAAGACGGGCAAGTGCCACAACAGAAATAAACCACAAAACGTAAGCAAGCATCTCAAGTTATTTCTAGTTGAGTTAATTGTCTGTCCGTTTTGAATTAGTTATTTCTACTTCTTGATTACTTTATTCTTATTTTTCGGCCGTGTAAATTATCAAATATTTTTGTGTTGATTTTGTGCTTACCACTTTATGACTTCAGTCTGATGAGAGCATTCTAGAATCCCTAACAAAGGTTGCCGACATCGTCAGACCTATTGCGATAAAAGCTTCGCTGTCGCCTGAACAAAAGACTTTGCCATCTCCGGCTCTGTCACCTTCCTTTTCTTTACAATCCAGTGATGAGATCAAGAACATTTTGCCGCTCCAATTAGCAGGACTAGCTGATCTTATCATACGAAACCAGTAAGTTCATGTTTATAACCTTGGCACGCGACAAGTTGACACATTTTGTTATATATATATATATATATGTATTTAGTGCATGACATTTGACATATACTGCTAAAAATAGACTAGTCAGTGACTCTTTGATCTTAAAAAAGAACAACATTTATCACAGCAATTTTGCTCGAGCGTTAGTAAACATAATTTCACCACGTGTTTCGAGTCTAACGCCACTGCAGAAAATTGAAATAAAGACCTGCGACGGTAAAATAGAAGCTTTGGTCGAATCCAGAGGAACTGTAATTTTTATCTTATATGGTTCTTTCTGGACTAAGCTTGGCTGAAATTGAAAATTTCGTTCACGTATTCTGTCAATATTTTAAAAAAGACCACAGCACAACCTGTTTTATAATGATTAACACCGCCTATTTTCAGGCTAAGTTTAAGCAGTCTGTGTGGAGCAGGGAACTCTAAACTCCCCCTGCTGTGTTCCAGCCCTATAGACGAGATTGGAAGTGTTGGTTCCCTATCCCCCGGCAGTCCCCACCAGCTAATATCCTCAGCTATCAGATCAGCATCTTCACCTGCCTTCTGCAGCAGCGAGATGTCGGTACCTGAGAGGGTTAACACCATCTGGAGACCGTATCTAGCGTCTTGAGGACCTTCTGGAGTCTGCAATTGCTGTGGAAACTCTAACTGTTATCGCTGTGATAAATTAAAAGACTGATTTAAGAATTTGAAGATGGAAGATGATGGAAATAATGGGCAGATCAAATGTTATCTTGTAGGACTAGTTGAATGATAACACAGAAAACTAAGTTGAGATGACTTTAGAGTTTAGTAACTTATGATTACATTATTACTTATTTACTTTCTCCCGAAGTAATTCTATTTTTAAGCTCACCAACTAGTATTATATTTGGAATACATCGGACTTGTGCGATATACCCGCTGTAAATTCCCTTAATCAAATTGATGTTGTAAATGTTTTAAAGATGTTGTTGTAAAATGTATTTGTTTATATAATTTCTACCGATCCATATAATCTTTGTTTGATTTCTCTTACACGCGCTAGACACAAGTTTATATTCAAGTTTAGTTGCTTTACTGATGATAACAACTGTTAATCTTTTACCAGTAATCGCCTCTTCAACAAGCACGAAAATTAAGTTTCAATCACCTCTACGCAGTGAAGCTCTCATTATTGCCCTACCTTACAAAGTACCTTAGCGGGAGGTAAAGTGGGGATCAAGTAGGAGCTCATCAGCTCAACGAGCCTGGTGTGCACGTGACACGTGCACGTGCACGCGCTCAACGAGCCTGATTCACCAACTGCACGAGAAACCAGAGCTCTCGCCCACTCTACCATCACAGACCTCACTCGCGTCTTAATTGCTTCTCTGCTTGAAACCCGTGTTATGTACTGATATCATAGTGGTACAGTTCGGTGTTTTGACTAGTATTACAGGGCTATTTTCACAAGGTACTTAGAGATAGTCAGGGGAGGTATCATGGATTAGTACTTTAGTAGAGTCAAGAGTGTTGATGCTCTTTCATCTTTGTCACTTGAACTGATTAGGAGATTTCACCAGATATAAGATATCCGGTTACAGATATAAGTTATGGTTTGATAACTTAATAAGGCCTTGAGAGATGACTGAAGAGTGAAGAATGAAACGTATAGTAACTCCTTAACTCAAACTGCAGCTGTGAAAGTTTCTTATCGGACGTTATTTGTCCGGACATAGCGTGAACTTATACATTCAAATAAACGTTGCAAGGCATTCAAAAGACAAAACCACTCATAATCCGAAAGATTTTCATCTTTTTGGGAATTTTTCCCCGATTTTAGCAAATAATTTGTTGATCGATATTCAATATAGTTAGCAAAAAAGCAGTCGTTATAAGCAGTAAAAATGTTGACATAATTTAGTCCTATGATAAAATTGAAATTTGCCGAAATCAAAAAATTGTCATATCCTGGACAATATGAATAAGTTCGTAGTGGAATACTCGCGGGGAAAAAATTTCAACGAACTTTGACCGACTTAATTTGGACGGACATGAAAATGAACGCTAGGACTTCGAGCGTTCAATTAATTTCCATTTAAAAGTTTAAACAAAGTCCGGTAAAGTATGTAGTTAGGTTTAACTGCGATACAATTTCAATTTGCCAATATTCTGTTCTTCTCTTTTCAGTATCCAACTTCAAAACCTCTCTTTTTTAAGGTTTATGAAAGTTCTTACACGAAGATATAATAGGTTGCCGGTTAATTAATGAAACCTGATTTAGCCAAACTATGAATTAGTTTAACGGATGCTCATTGTACCAATACAATACGTAACTACTCTATAAAGAACAATCCCACAGACTTGTGGCTCCAATAATTAGAATGATTATAATCAATTAAATTTTCCTAAATGAATTTATCTGCTGTTTGAAATTAATCATCATAAATTTAAATACAAAGAGATTTCCTTCGAGGCTATTTCGTCATAACACGTGCAACAAAATATTCCGTCAGCTAAATTCGATTTTCCTGATCGAATTGAGGAGGAGTAAACGAAATGATGACACTCATAATTTGAAAATGGTCCATTACATTAACTAACTGGTCACGTTTAGCCAATAACCCGACCAGGATGTTACTATAGATTATCACAAAACGTGGTAATTAAAACACGCATACGATTGATGAATTGGTCGACAAATTGGCTCGCGCCAAGTCCCATTGATTATGTACTTTTCCGGGCTGTTAACACTCTTTGGGGCTAAACTTCAGAGGTAGAGTTTGATCACTTGACCTGGTTCAGGACTCAAGGGTGGTTGTCTCTGGTCATGTGACCCCTCCTGACGGGGAACATCTTAATTGCTAAATCTATTGCCCGGCTAATCTTATTTGAAGCGTCTGTCAGCGAAAAATGTGTTAAGGTATGGTCCATTCACACTTTTTGAATGGAAGGTCGGGGAATGCACTCGTTAAACCGGGATTTAGACCAATTATTTAGGAGCAAATAGAAATAATTACTATTTAGCTGCGACGGCGGTTATAATACTATAATAGAACTAAGCCTCAATAGGGTTTAAACTTTAATTCAGGCTAAATTAAAATCATGAACGATTGTTTGTTATTATTTTACAGTAATTTGATTTTGAGCTTAATTCCAACTCAATTCATCATTGATAAGACTTCATGAGTTATTAAATCACGATCCAGGGCGTTGATATCTGCTGACCGTCTGTGTAAATACCGTTATTACAGCCTCGTAAAGAAAAACCATAGGTCTGTATGGGCTGAGGAATTTAGCCCTAATTCCCTAAAAACTGTCTCCGTGGTGGGTTTATCTCTTTTGACTTAACCCTAACTAAGGGAGACTACCAATTTGTGCAGTCCTATTTGCCTACTAAAATGAGACGTTTGCTAAACTACTTGACGCGTCGCTACACCAGGGTGTGGCCTGGCATTTAAACTTAAAACCCTGGTTAAAACCACAAGCAGGGCTGCAAACTGTTAAATCTACTTGCAATACCAGCAGTCTAGTCTCACTACAGCTCATTTAAAACTGATTGGATGATTGATTGACTGATTGGTTGTGTTGGGCGTGTGTGGTTTTTACCGTTTATGTTGGTGATTAGGAGGTGATTGACCTAAGTGACAGTCTAATCGGTAGCTGCTGATGTTTTGTAAATCATGCTTGTGCTCAATGTCATGGTCCCTTCAATTTTACAGGGTGTGCTATTCATGTGAACGTCAGCTGAAGTGAGATGGAGTACGTCCCTGAGGTTGAGGCGCTGTGCTTATCAAAACTAAATAAAGTGGGAGGTGAAGGGTTAGTGATAAAGGCAGCTAGACCACCTTCATTTCCTAATACCACATGTATTAATTAAGGATTCTAAATTATAACATCTTGTTTCCTCTGAAATTAGAATCTACTCGAAGAGTCCGTCAGAAGTTCAACATGCTAAAACAGTAAATGCAGCCATATCTACCACATTTTAAACACGGTAAAGCATGTTACAAAGAAATTGTTGACCTAAACTTAACTACTTATTATTTTACACATCTGTGATGTGTGAGAAAGAGAGACAATATAGCTAGACAGGGTACACAGTACAGTTCCTGCAGAGTTACCTAGTTCCTAGCCCCCCATACAGGCAAACAGCCTGTCAATTAGCACCCTGTTCCCTCAACTATAATACGGGTAAACTATTGTATGTAGTTCAGATACACACGTCTTGTAAAATAGCTGATTATTGCATGTCGCTTCCTTCACACTTTCACAGGTGCTATGTCGAGGAAGCTAAAAAGAGACAATAATAAGATGAACAGGAGGTTTACTCTACTAGAGGTTTACAGGAGGTTTACTCTACTAGAGGTTTACTCTAGCTTACAGTCTTACAGTAATGATACTCAGAGTGCCTCATTTTACCTGAATTAGACGGATCCTCGTTTAAAAAATAATCTTATGAACGTAGTTTATTGACGATCTGTAGTTTCAGTATAATATCGGGCACCACACAAATGTTCCATTTTTAATCTTCTCCCTGTGACCACGGGTTTTCTAGTCTTCTCTATTATAATTCGAAAGTTTCTGTTTGTATGTATGTATGTACGACCGCCCACGTGCAAATTATATGAAAAATAGAAAGTTGCATAGTAACTATGGTAACGGCGGTGACCATGGTAACTGCGGTGAGCGTGCACGTGCACGTGCAAAGATTTGCGAACGAAATTTTAATCGTTCGCGTTGGAGCTGGAGAACTTCGCCGCTTCGACGCGCCAGTGAAATAAGCCAGGGAAATTGTATTAAAGGGCGCTTTTACAAAATCATTGTGTATGAGAAGTTGAACATTCTACGAAGAACTAATTAGAGGTGAGACCACGGAGTACGGACGGTTATGAGGGGTGAATGAAGTATCACGTGATTTGTGATTATGATCTGTGATAGGTTGTTGTTAGGTTGTTGTTAGGATGGTGATAGGTGAAGGTTGCTACTTGCTACTTTGCAGGTTTAGGGGATCGGAAGGAATTTATGAGGAAGGTGCTATAAAACTGGTGTAAAGTTGAGGTGAGGAAAACTGTGAATGATGCTAGGTGAAAGTGTGAATTTCGCTGGAGCCGTCCGGGAATAAGAAATGAGATATTAATCAGAATACCGCCTATAGAATTATATTAAGATTAAACAAGTTGTAGTTATCATTTTATATACAGTTGGAACTTCTTTTTGAACTTTTGAATGTTTTCTGGTGTCGTGTTGAGTCTGTTTTACAGTATAATCGATTATATTTTCGGTTGAGATCAGAGATGGATGTTTTTTGATGCGATAAAATTTAAAAACTGATTACAAAAGAATACTGTTACCTTCCTCCCTGCGACCACGGTCTTTCTAGTATCTATATAAAACATGCTATGTATCATGGTGGTCATATAAATCGGTCAGTTCTGCTGATCGAACCAGCAAATTAAAAAGACACAGAGAACCATCACGTTTCGTGGCCACCGAATTTCTTACTTGACGTGCTATTTCAGTCACAAATGACTGCTTCGGAAGTTGTTCCACGATTTTATGGACCATTACTTCACTTTTAGGGCAAATTATTAAGCCACGAGTATATCGACAGACTAACGAATTTCAACAACTTCTGGAGAAGGCCTTTCAAATGAGAAACCTTACATGATTAATTATTATATTAAATAAAATTATATTGTTTATGTTATGTATCAACTATCATATGATTTTGTAAACATTGGCCGGGTACCAAAAACCGGTCCCCAAACAAACAAACACATATTTTCGTGGACCCATTACTGGATTTAGCCCTAATTGCTTGTTGCCCCCCCCCCCCCCCCCCCTCCCCCGGGAGCTTTTTGTCGAAATGGTAACTGTAACCTGGCCTATAATAAAGCTATAAAACTACCCACACCTGCTACAATGATGTTTGTTTGCAGGAATGTGATCTGTTAACATGGTTACATGATGAACAGAAGTACGTGTTTAAAGTTTTAAGATACACTTCTGCATACTTGCTTCTCATTTCGTCACAGTCTTCTGTGTGCTTCTTTTGTGTGTGTGTGTGTGCTTCTTTTGTGTGTGTGTGTGTGTGTGTGTGTGTGTGTGTGTGTGTGTGTGTGTGTGTGTGTGTGTGTGTGTGTGTGTGTGTGTGTGTGTGTGTGCGTGCGTGCGTGCGT